CCCAACTATAGTCCAAAGCCAAGCCCCTGGGTGGGGTCTTGGATGGACTGATCCTGTCAGAAAGGTGGTCTGCCCCTGCTGCCCAAAATGCAGACTTGGGCTTGGTGCCTTTCCTTTGTTCAAAGTTTTCTTAGTGCAGTTGGGGCTGGGGGAAGTAGGGCAGATGGGGTTTCCCAGCTTGTGCAGGGGAGAACAGGGGTTCCAACAGAACAGCTATGAAGTCCACACATTTCTTGCAGCTCTAGGAAGGCTCAGTGCATCGTCAGGGCCGTGGGTTGATTGCTGCGCTTCTCTAAGGTTGTTGCAGATTAGTCCTTGATGGAAGAGCCAGTCCGTGATTTCTGTGTGCTTGATTCTGCTGCTTTTTACTCATGGCTTAGAGGGAAGACCAGCTAGGGCATGGAGCTTAGTGCAGGAGAAGACTGCGGAAACAGTCTCGGGGTCCAGTGTCAGGAAGACGTCTGAGCTGCTGTTGAAGCACAGGCGGAGAGTTCACTGCCCTCCTGCCTCTCTGCAGACACGGTGGGATTTATAGTCCGGTCGCCTCTACCTAACTTGTCCTTCTAGGCACTGGCGTGCTAGAATGATGGAGAGTCCATCCGAAAGGCAAACATGCATTTCCAATTTTAATCCAAATTGGAATGTGCCTTTATTCTGGCCTAGCTGAGGAGCCACTTCCCACAGGATGATGGCAGATGGTGGGGTGGCCTGCAGTCTGGAGGACTCCAGGAGTGCCATTGAGGGGCTTAACTCCTGAAATATAGAGTAAGTCATTTTCCTGAGTAGCATTGCCTGTGCTCACTTCCTGCCTAGACACGTCTTCTGAATTCATCTAACGCTCCTGTTCATTGTGTCCTGACTCTGACCTGCTTGAGGCCCAGGGCATCCTTCTTATTCAAAAGGGGAGGTGTCACCTGGCTGGGAGCAAGTACTGAAGCTAGAAGTCTAAGGGCTCCAACTCCCCACTTCCAAGTTCATTGTCCTCTCTCTTAGCTACCCACCACTGTGACACATTCCTGAGGAAGACAGTTTTAAGGAAAAAGAGTTGATTGTGTTCCCTGGCCTCAAAGATCCCGTGGTTTTACCTGTCTCTGGAACTGTAGTGATCACTTGATCATGGTGGAAGCACACGGCAGAGGAAGCTGCTCACTCACATGACAGGGAAGCAGGAAGAGCCTCCGCACCTCTGCCCCACCTCCCTTCTCATGGGTGGGCTAGAGCTGGTTTGGGTTTTACATTATTTTCGCTCCCCTGCTCTAAAGGTTATATCCTCTATTTTTTTATTTAAGATTATTGACCTCCGTCTTCTAAGATAATTTTTAGTTCCCAGGAGGCAGCTGGTTTGGGAAAGTGCTTGCTGGGAAAGTGTGAGAACCTGAGTTTGATCCTTCAAACCTAGTGAAGAAGCCAGATGTGTGGGTGTGTGTGGGTAGTGCGGGAGGGGTGCGCTTGGAGAGCTGACTCAGTGGCACAGAGCACTTGCTACTTTTACAGACAGACAGTCTGGTTTGGTCCCCCACATTCACCTGTGGTTCACAACCACCTGTAACTCCATTTCCACTGACCCTGGCACCCGCCAGACATGAAAGAACACGGTACACATGCATACATGCAGGTAAAATACTACACATAAAATAAACAAATCTTAAAAAAAGAAGATGGGTGTGCTGGTGCATACCTGGGATGTCAGCACTGGGGAAGTAGCAACATGGATCCCTGGGACTCACTGACAGCCAGTTCAGCCGAATTAGCAAGCTCTAGCCCAGTGAGAGACCCTGCTTAGAGAAAAGTGTGGACAGTGCTGAGGATCTGAATGACACTGGTGTGGACCTGTGACTGCCACACACATTTCTAGGCCGTGCACATGAGAGCATGCACACACAGACACACAAAACCCTCGGCTGTTTTCCCATCACACATCACTTCACCTCATTCTCTTCATTTACTTTTTTGGACATTAAATTAAATTTATTTCAGAAATTGTTTTGTTTTCAGTGTCCCTAATAGCATCCCTATTGCATTCTGTGTAATTTTGCTCCAGTCTAACTTTCAATTCACTGGTCCTCATTTATGTCTAACCTGCTCCTCAGCTCACCGTTTGCTTGCTCGCTTGCTCTTGGAGACAAGCTCATGACGTGCAGTGCAGCTGTCCTCACACTTGCGCTCCTCTTGCCTCCGACTCCGGGGTGCTAGTATTGTGGACAGACAGCACTATGCCTGCTTTTATTTCCTGTTCTGTCTTAGCTATCCTTTTCTTTTGAGATTTCTTGCAGTATTTACATAAAAACAAGCCGTGCCTAAAGCACACAGTTTAATACATTTTGGCAAATGTGAGCTCTGTTTGACCTTACACACCACAGCCCTGTCACCCTCCAAAGGCAGTTTTCCCTGAAAACCCTTCCCTCATTTCTGCTCAATACCCAGGCTCCCAGGAAATGATTGATATGCTTCTTGTCATTTAAATTAGTTAGCCATTTTTAGATTTTGTGTAAAAGGACACCCTTTTGAATAAATCCTTAGCTAGGCATATTTTGAAGGCTTCGGAGGCACCAGGGCTGACTTGTGCTTTAGAATGCTCGGAGACCAGCAGTCCTTGTTTATAGGGTCATTATTTTCCAGTTTCTCTTCAGTACAAATGCAGCTCCAGCCTGACTGTACAGGAGCCCACAACCAGCCTCACCTTTTACAGAGACTTGATTGTTAACCTCGGGTGCTGCCCATGATTAAAACCAAGCTCCGTGCCACAGGGTCTCCCTGTGCCCTGGGGTGACTGCCATTGATTACTTCCTCAAGCCCTCCAAGTGTCAGTTCCATGTGCCCTCTGGCAATTGCATCTACCTTTTTCAAAGCTCAGTTTTATATGTGAAAAATAATTACTATTTAAGTGTTTTAGTTTTATAGTAAGAAGACTGATTGAAACAATATAGTTCACCTTATTTCAGAAATAGAATTTCTTAGTGTTTTATTTGAGCTTAGACACCACATCCGAATCCTGCCTCTCTCCCTCCATAGTAGTTCTTACACATCTCGCAGTCTTCTCAGCCGGCTGTACCACCAGCTGCTGGCTCTGTTGCTAATAGACCTGGATGGCCCTGCAGGTCATCATGGTTTTCTGCAGGCCTATAGAATATGGAGGGAGGCCTGGAAATTCACAAGTTTGTTTCTGGTTTTGTTTTTATGTCTTTCCCCTACTCCCACCCCCAGACAGGTTTCTCTGTATAGCCCTAGCTGTCCTGGAACTTTCTTTGTAGAGCAGGCTGGCCTCAAACTCAGAGTTCTGCCTGCCTCCACCTCCCAGTGCTGGGATTAAAGGTGTGGGCCACTACCACTCTGCTTAACAGTTTTAGGGAGTTCAGTCCATCATTATAAAAAGTCAGGATCCTCACTAAAACCTTTTATGTCCTTAGATCCTCAGTGCTATTGCTGTCTTCAAACAAGAACACTTTACTACTATCTTATGTTCGTCTTCTAAATGTATTTCCACATTGTGTACTTGAAATTCTGCTAAATGAAGAATTCTTATTTCAGGTCCATTTCCCCATAGTCCATAATGTTCACAACCACTAGCTTCAGTGTATATTCCTGGGGAGCTAAGAACCTAGCAAAACAACACCTTTGGCACAGCCCATTGAACAGAACTTGGGCATCTGTTGGCCCCTCACTAATGCATAAAGTGTGACTTTGACTGTGGAAGGCCACAGTCCAGAAGCCTGTGGTGCTGGCCCTCCATACGCTGCAGCTGCCCCGCTTTCCCGGCCTTCCCGCCCTCTGCTGTTTTCTGCCTCATTCATCACACCAACACTGTAACGTGAGGTGATTGGTCACATAGTGTGTTTGCAGCGAACCTTTCTGACTGCAGTATGTAAATGTTAGTCATCAGATGCTGGCTCTGCAGCTGTTGCCTTTATTGAAGCCCTGGCCAATTCCACTTGACTGAAGATGCCTGGGTGTGAAGGCTTCAGATAGGCTCTGGTTACCATGCTTGGAGGTGATCAGCGAAGCCGTCACAGTCCTGGGATGGGTGAGATGCTGCGTGTAATGTGAAAAGGATGTGGGAAGGGAACTTGACGGCCGTTTCAGTTAGGCCAGTAGCTCCTGATCCTGGCTTTGCTTGCTTGTTTGAATACAATATATTGATCAGTAATGTAAGAGTAGTCATAATTACAGACTTGATAGCATGAGAGAGCTGTTTGGTATCTAATTATGAGCAAGTTCACTCGACAGTGTTGATTTCCCTGATAGGAAGGGGTTTAAGGATCTGTTGGAAGGTTTTGTAGATGCTATAATCACCTGTTTCAATATTTTTTTTAAAAAAATCTCTAGATTTTTCAGTGAAATGGGTTTGAATCATGAGCAGAGAATGAGGGGAGCTAGAAAACACTGTAGAGTTGAGAAGCAGTGGTGTGAGGTGACGTAAACCATTTGGAGTGTGTTGACTAGGATCGCAGGTGACCTTAGGGTCTGGGGTGAGTCTGACAACACACGTTATAAGCGTTCTTGTGGATGTTCTGTTGAGAGGAGCCAACTCCTGGGTAGTGGAGGCTACTAATCAGGAAGGATAGTCTAGGGAACTCTGCTTTGTTAGGGAATATCTGCAAGGCCCTTGGTTAATGACCATTACAAAACCTCTGGAGTCGCCAGCCTTTGACTGCTGGGGGGTAACAGTGGCAGGTCCCCATGCCTGCCCCCGCATCTAGTTTCTTCTTGTGGAGTTGGACAGACATGATACTTTGCCTTTCCTTACAGTGGTACCTTATTGATCCATTTTTTTAAGAGCTAAATTTGTATTTTTTAATTATTATTTTGCATTCTCTAGTTGAATAAATCATTTAGAACTGTGACTAACATCAGTTGTCCTCAGTTTCTGAAAAAGAGCAAGAGTGAGCCTGTTTTGATACTGACTTTGTCATGTTCGCAGCCATCTGGCAGGAGTCGAGTCTGGTGGATTTTCCTGGAGAAATGTGTATATTTAACACAGTCCTTTCTCTTTGTCTTCACAGCTGATCTTGCTTCATTAATGGACAAAGCATATGAAAGGAAGTTGCCTGTTAGTTCTTTGTCAATATCTCGGGTAAGACCCTTTTAAAAGAAAGTAACCTGTTAATTCTTTAGCAGTGTCGCAGGTAAGAACATTTCAAGTGTGTTTTCAAAGAAGGAAACAAGCAAGGCTGTAGACAAGGCAGTGTTGTAGAAGTAGTGGTCACCATGGGAACTGTCTTCCCACAGCGTAGTATGTTTTTATAATTACAACAGATATTGTATGATGTAGTGGCTGAAACAAAAGGAAATAAGCATACCAGACTCAAGTTAGCAATCACTGATTTTTTGGGGGGGGGTCTGGTTACATTATTTCATATTTTTAAAGTTACTATGTCCTTTGAGATCTAAACGTGGGTTTGTAGCTGACCACCATCTATGGAAGAATGGCTGCTGACGTCAAACTGACTGCTGCTAGGTAGCAGGGAGGAGATCGGGCCAGCAGTCGGGACCAGCCATGATAGCGCCACTCTGGGCCCTTCTGTGGCGGTCGCTCTTCTAGTTTCTCGCCATGCGTCACGTGTATTCATTTGCACAGGAGCGTGGTGTAGGTGAGGCACAAATGATGAGGGAACTCCAGATCCAGCACAGCTTCTAGACAGAGAGGTGGGAGCATCAAAGTCCACTTCTGTTCCCCTATCAGATGTGCTGGTCTCGTCTCTATGGTGACTCCAGGTCACAGGCTGGAAGTGGCAGGCTCCTCCAGTGGGAGGGGAAGGAGAGCTCTTGCCTTCCAGTCCTGTCCTTCCTCTGTGCCTTTGACCCTCTTCACAGGGAGGCAATTCCACTGTCCTCACTTGAGTTTAAGGACTCCTGTCTGTCAGAGTGGAGAACTAGGAAACCCTGGTTTTGAGGGTGGCACCTGTCTGTGGACTGTAATGTCTGGTTTTTGTTCCGGCAACACTTGGAACTTCACCGAGCTTTTGTGTGGGTTCATGCTCCAGCCTGAGACTCAAACTCCTCAGGGCGGAAGCCTGTGGCTGTTTATACAGATGGAGCAAGGAAGTCCCAGAGGGGATGTGCCATCTGTTTGTGCCACAGCAAGCTCTCAGGAGAGCTGGTTCTCCAGCACAGGGCCTGTGTTTGGACCACATGTTATCTGCCCTTTAATGGATTTCTAAATCAAACCCACAGGTCCTGATTCTTTTTAGAAAGTCTCCTTTTTTTCCCCTTCTCTCTCTCTTTATGAGGTTCTGGTTACACTCTCAGCATCCCTGGGCTCTTTCTCTGTCTTCCTGCTTCTGATTGCCCACTTGAGAGCAGAGTCTGTCCTTGGATAATAGTTTCTGCTCATTCAGATCATAGGTAAGGAACATACTCACAGATTTTTCCACCTTTTCTCAAGTGCTGGAGATTGAACCTAGAGCCTCATTAACGTTAGTCAAGTGCTCTTTACCGGTGAGCTGCATCCCCAGGCCTGATGCTTACTAGATTTTATAGCTTGAAGGGAGCCTCCAGTCCTAAAGCGATTGTTCCATATCAACTCTAAAGTCAGAGTCAAAGTGGTTACACCCCGAATTCTCTACACTTAGATGCTATGTTCTGAACAGTATTGTTCCAGCCTTTAAAGTCCCCACGATTTCAGCTCCGTATTCCATGTGTTTGGAGGGAAGACAGGGACAAAGGTGATGATAGCTGTAAATAATACTGTGCAGAGCTCTCCTCCAGCTTTTCCTGGGTGCTTTCCTGTTGTTGGTTTTGTTTTGGACCAGCGTTGTGCTATATACATAGAGGAGAAGCTATGGTATCTGATTTGTTTTCACCAGTGTGACAGGTTTTCAGAAAGGAACCATACCATGGGACCATCATTCCAATAAAAAGAGTACATGTCTTTAAAGATCAGTGTATGAACTTGACCAAACGTGGAATAATTTATATTTAACAGAGTTTTTTTTTTTCCTTTAGTTTGTGGACAACATTTCGTCTCGAGAAGATATAGATTCTGCAGAGTACTATCTTTACAAGTAAGCTCCCTGCCCACTTCTGCTTCACACCCACTTCTAACACTGGGTGTTTTTCTTCTTTCGTAGTCTGAGAAGTGTGTGTGTGTGTGTGTGTGTGTGTGTGTGTGTGTGTGTGTGAGTAATTGAACCCAGTTGCATGTGGTCTAGAGCCTTAACAGAAGATTCATGTAGTTGCTTATAGCAAGGAGCTGCTTGTTCGTCCCGGCCGCCCAGAATCAAAGTAATCACACAGAAACTATATTCATTAAATCACTGCTTAGCCCATTAGCTCTAACTTCTTATTGGCTAACTTACATATTAGTTTAACCCATTTCTATTAATTTGTGTATTGCCACGAGGCTGTGTCTTACCAGGTAAAATTCCCAGCATCGGCGGCTCCATGGCATCTCTCTTTGACTCTGCCTTCTTCCTCCCAGCATTCCATTTAGTTTTTCCCACTTAGCTCTGTTCCTCTACAGCTCTGCTATAGGCCCAAAGCAGTTCTGTTATTAATCAATGAAAGCAACACATAGACAGAAGGACCTCCTACACCAGTTGCTAGTATCTGTCTTTGTGTAGGCCATGTATAAGACTATTGCTTGCTCCAAATCTACACTGCTGTGATTTGGCATCTCGTCATTTGCTTTAATCAAAACTAATGTTTTTATTAAGGTATCTTTTTTTAAAAAATTCTGTTCTTTTCTTTATCAAGAAAATTAGCTTATTTTCTCAGCTTCTTTGTTTTTTAAGAAACATTTTTTTTGTGACATAGTGGATACTTTTATGTGTGTGAGAATCAGGTAAACCAGACAAGGAGAGTGATGCTTGTTCATTGTCTGAATGTCTGCTTCCCAGCCTCGGAGAATGTACAAAACATATTAGGGCCTCAGAAAAGCTTCTGTAAACATTGGCAGTTAGAAACTGTGAACTCCTGGAGTTTCTCTCGAGTAAAGTCAGAGGTTAAGCTTAGATACCAAAGAGCTGATGCTCCGAGGTAGGCCTTCTGTGATTGTTGGGCTAACACCTTACAGAGGGACTTTTGACCTCTCAAAATGACCTTCAGATCCCATGCCTAACATGAAGAAATATCTAGCAACTTCTTAATCTTAAATAGCCCACAGCTTCCAGTTATCCTGCCAGCAGGCAGCATTTCTTACTCCCTGAGGTATTCCGTCACTTAGAGCAGTGGTTCTCAACCTGTAAGTCATGACCTTTTGGGGGTTGAGTGACCCTATCACAGGGGTCGCCTAAAGCTGTCATAAAGCACATATTATGATTCATAAGAGTAGCAAAATTATATTTATGAAGTAGCAATGAAATTAATTTTATGGTTGTCGGTGACCACAACATGAGGAACTGTGTTAAAGGGTTGCAGCATTAGGAAAGTTGAGAACCACTGACTTAGAGTAAAACTTACTGCTGCCCATGGCATAAGCTTCCGTCCTCCCTGTCACAGCCTGTAGCCACCGTCATGTCGTAATTGACCAGTGGAGAGCTGATGGATTTTCTGCCGTGGAATTGGGCACGGGTAGCAGCAGTCCGAGGACTTGTGGCACACACACACACACACACACACACACACACACACATACACACACCCTTCTCATCTTCCCATCCCTGGAGAACATTTGAAATCTCCAAACATCACAGACAAGAAAGCTTGGAAACTCCAGCATCACAGGGTATCAGGGATCTTTATAGAAAGGCTACTTTTGAGGCAGCAGAAGGGACAACAAACATCTGGACATTTGCTGTGGGCTGTGCACCGCTCTTGGGAGCCAGCCATACTGGGATCCTCCGCTCATGGTAGAAAAGGAAACGTGGAGGGAAAGGAGTGGGTGCTCTCGTTACCACAGCAAACTGGGGTGTTTAAGGCAGCCTGTATGTAGACAGAAACCCGAAAACAGTGATACTCTGCCTCTGACGGGAAAATCAGCAAAAATGAAAGTGATTCAGACAGTGGGAAGGCTAAAGCTAAGTGAGAGCCAACACTTGGAAAATAGGCCATGCTAAGAGCACCAACAGTGGCTGGTGTGACAGAGACGCTTCAGCTCATGTATGGCGTGGGGCACCTGACACAGTAGGACCTGAGGCAGAGGCTCAGGGTACCCAGAGTGGGTGTGGTTTGGCTGGGAGGCTGGGGAACCGGCCTGAGAGTACTGCACACACGCTCTTCGGGGGCTGTTACTCTTCTAGGAGTGATCCTGGGACCCTCTGAGACACCTGGGGCATGGGTGGGGGATGAGAACCACGAGAGGCCCCACTGTGCTGCCACAGGCCCTGCTACTCTTCTCTCTGTCAGAGAAGCCGTGTCTCCTGCTACTTCCTTTATTGGGATCTATAGAGAGCATTCTATAGAGTTGCAAATCGGGTAAGCATAAAAATCACATTTTCGTGTCTCAATAATGCTTAGCATTTTCTTTGACTATGAGTATAGATGACAGATGCTGCCACTATTTGAAGCATTTGTCCTTCTCACCAATTAAAGTCATTGTTGTTGTTTTTTTTAAATGGTTTCACATTTGTAGCAGAATTCTAAAAACTGCTCATCCCAGCTCAGAAGCCAGTAATTAGGCTGCTCCTGGCTCTGGGGTCCCAGCGCTCTTGTTGCAGCGCATATGTTGCCTTATCTGGGAACTTCTTAGTGTCTTGATAACTGTCTCTCGGTGTAATTGGGTTGAAAAACCCATTTGGAGACGGGGTCCACACCTGCCTCAGGGCTCACGGTGTAAAATACGGAAGGTGGTGTGCCTCCTCGGGGAGCTTGTGAGCCGTGGGTTCTTCTGCTGGTCTTCATCCTGCTTCTTCCTGCAGGCCTTCTGAAGTATTCTGTCTTTGTTTTCTTTTCATACAAATACTTTCTTTTCTTATTCCAGTTTGCCCCGTGAAGGAAGGCAAGTGTGTGACTGATAGGTACCCTGTCTGCAGATGAAAGGTTGAGTCTAGGCAATCCCGATGAGGTGGGTGAGAAACTCTGCAGGCCCCCGCAGGCAGTCTGCAGAGCTGCGGTGGGGTGAGCAGGAGCATTTCTGTTTGATTTTGGTGTCACAGCGCCCAGTGTGCGGTGAGATCAGAGCAGCAGCAGTGAAGACTGTGGCGCAGGAGCTGTCAGCAGCACTCGGCGGCCCACACAGAGGCTGTTCCGTGGTCAGTGTCTGGGGAGGGCTGTTCCGTGGTCAGCGTCTGGGGAGGGCATCTATTCTTTCCACTTAAGAACTTTCATATCCTCTGCTAATTTTTAAAATAACTAAGCTCTAAATGTTTTTATTCTTCTGGGAAGAGGATTTTTGTTTTCGACTTACTGTTCTGCTGTCGTTTGAGGCTCCTGCCTTTACTGTCAGCTGCAGCGTTCACAGGCTTTAGCCTTGTGCCTCTGTTTACTGACACGGAGGCTGAGAGAGATCACCTGGGCTGCGAGGATGATCTGTGAAACGGGTGCTGCCTGCCCTGAGCTGGGAGGCCACAGGCTCCAGTAGGACAGCTCTGTGAGGACAGCCTGGGCTTGCCCAGAGCAAACTGTCGTGAAGGACCCAGGCAGGGCTTGATTGCTCCCACGGGTGCTATGGCAGAAGGTGTCAAGAGAGAACCTGGCACAGAGCGCAGTGTGGTGGGGAAATTGGGATTATAAATCAAAGGAAATCCCTGGAAAGTCTTGTAGTCTGTGGACTGTGTGAGACTCTCAGCTCTTTACCCCTTTTGGAGCACAACCTGCCTGGGGTCAGTGTTATTGTATGGTGACCGTCCATAAGCTTCATACAGTGAACAGCTCTTTTCCATTTTGGAGGCAACCTTCCCTGGGCCCGCTAGTCAGGTTCTGAGTATACCCATCCATGTATACTGTCCACACTTAGAGTGAACCTGGAGACTGACTGTGTCTTCATACTCAGGAGAAAAAACTGCATGTCGTGGGAAAAGTGCCATTACTACACGTCATTATCTGTGTGGCTATAGCAAGCTTTCCCAGCTCCCGTGTTAGCATTTGATGACTATAGTAATGGCGTGTAACTCCAGCTGTCACACTGCTACCCTCCCTTTTGGTGTCCTCTATACTGAGGGTGTTTGCACGTTGCAGTTGTAAAGGCTTGTTGCCGTCTGCATCATTCGGGGGGACTATGGTGGTTTACAAAGCACGTCATTAATCTTGCTCCCCTCACCCTTAAGGCATCAGTCATCAGAACTGGCTATCTAATCTGCAACGAAATGATCCTCCTGAAGGGTGGCAGGCCTCTTCAGCTATATAACTTATTCTCTGTTGGGAATTTTACAGTTCTAAAGTGGCCTGTGGCTTCTAGAAAAACTGTAGTGAATGTTGAATCCATTGCCACACAGTAGAAAAGGCTCTAGAGCTTTGGGGACGGATCTTTTTCTCAGAGTCAGACTCCTGTGTTGTCATGGAGAGCAGCATGCCGCCCAGTAATGAGAGGAAGGCTAAGCTGGGAGACTGGCTATGGTGGGGTCGCACGTCCATCCATCTGTGTCGTGGCCTCCAGCGTCCTTCAGCAGTTGCTCAGCTGACCTGGCAGATAGCAGGCGACAGGTCAGAACAGCTGGGATGAGGCAGATGGCAGCCTGCGTGTCTCCAGGTCCTAGTTTGGCTGCCTGTCGAAGAACCAAAATAGCTTCATTTTTCAGTGAGCAAAGCTGCTGTGATGGCTCCTTAGAAGGCGGTGTTGGAGGAACCTGTGCCTGTGGGGAGAGAGGGAGGGTTCGTTAGGAGTGGGCTGCGTGCGAAGTCACGCAGTAGTAGTTCCCTCTGAGGACTGCTGTAGGTCTCTTAAATTTCTCTGCTAATGAATTGCTTAGTCTCTGAAACTCAAACGTATTTTTTAAGTCTAAAAGTCACTGGGCAGCAAGCAAACCTCACCTTTTTTTAGAAACAGTTCCCTGCTTTAACACTGCTGTAGTTGTTTTTATTTGCTAATCCTTACATAAGCCTGAGAGATAGTCAATTATTATTAGTGCTCTGTATCAGACAGTAGCGAATTGACAAATTTGGATGGGGCTTGGTGATGAGAGTGAGA